CCCCAAAACCCCAAAACCCCAAAACCCCAAAACCCCTAATTTATAAAGAAAATTGAACGATTGGATCATAATCAATTCTTAAAATGTCAAGCTTCGTATCAGAAAGCGTTTCTTCAAAAGACGCCAAAACAAAGAAACCAAAATCTAACAAAGAGAGAGCTCGTGCCCACAGAGCACGAAAGAAGGAGTACATCACCGTCCTTGAACAAAAGACTGCCAAACTTGAGGCTGAGGTATCCCAATTAAAGGCTGAAAACGATCAGCTCAAGCAGGAGAATGATAATTTGAAAGATACAAAGAAGGTATTCACATTTGTCTAATCCAACTTTAGCCTAAGGATAACATAATTATCCCAGAACTTGATTCTAATCCCTTCGAGCATGCATTACAAGAGTATGAAGATTACTTCTACAAACATGTTTGCGCCAAGATCAAGAAGGAGCCAGGAGAAGTCAGGTTTACCATGCTAGATAACGTCATTATGAGAGTCAGTGATTGGAGGTAAGCTCTTTTCCTGCTTGAAAAATTAGTCTTACTTTCTAATATAGTGACCTCAGAGTTGATTACATCAAAAGAGCATTCTCGAGTACGTTCGTGTTGTTAAATTCTGATATAGAAATCATTGAAAACGTGGTCAGTAATCTTGGAAAATCTTTGCATATTTCATATAAGAAGCTTTCCGTTTCGAATTGGCTTCGCAAGAATAAGGCAAAGAAGAGACATTTTAAGTACTTTGATAAGAAAGTCGAATCAGCCACGGATATTTATCTTGAATACAAATTTAGCGACAATCACTCTAACTTTATGGAAGAAAAGGGAAATATGCTACTTAAGGAGTATAAAAAGATACAGAAAATGTAATTTTAATTCTTACGAAATCTCTAATTAATTCTTCTAGCGTCCACAAGTTAGTCCAGCTACGTAATAAACTTCTCAATACCTACAAAGAAATCGAGAAGATAGCTTCAAACACAGAGCTCCATATGAGCTTTGAGAAGGAGGATATTACAAGTAAATGTGAGATCTGAGAGAGACTTAATGGGATCAGCTTTTTGAAGCCTCATAGAGTCTGGGACATTCCATTCAAAACTCATAACAATGAACGTTATGAAGACGCAGAATTATCAGAATAATTTAGTGAAATCTTCAGTATTCGGTGATTCTGGGGTTTTGGGGTTTTGGGGTTTTGGGGTTTTGGGGTTT